ATTTCATCCCCCCAAAACCTACATGATAATCCATACAAAGTTTCCCCACAAGATAACTCCACACTTCGTAATGCTAACATCTTTACCCACATAACCCCTATATTAATCCTTCTGTCTTTCAATTCCCTGGCTGTCATCCTGTACTGTATACAGTATTCCATATCTCAAAAAAAAAAAAAATTGGAGAGAGAAAGGGGGAAACAGCAAGGGAAGTGGCACATACTTGGAGCAACACATTATGACACATCTGTTCCATTTTTAAGAAAAGCTGGTTTTGCATCTTGTACAATAATTCCCATTTATGGATATTGGGTGTTTATATGTCTGCAAAAAAGAAGAAAAAAAGAGCTTGATTGGAAGCTCTGTTGATATTTTTTCAAGAAATGAGTAAAAGTTCTTCTAAGTTAAAGAAAGCTATCAAAGTTCAGTTGAGGGAAGAATCAGAATCATTCACGAAACAGATTCAATGAAACCAATGAAATGTATAACAGACTTACACTACTCAAGGTGCTGGAGAAGGTTTTATGATAAGTTTCTATAACTTTTATGAGATGACTGAGGTTAGTGCTGTGGGTCTATAGTTTCACGAGGAGAAAAGTTTTGTTCGGATATACGAGTTATATTTCAGATATTATTTTGGGTAAGAGAAAGTGTGGAGAGAAATGTTGGGGTAAGGATGCAACTTTTAAAGTTGCTGGAATCAGAGATTTGCTTTTCCTGGGATATATTGGTAATTTCCAGGTATATAAGAAGGGGAAATGACCAGCTTGGAAATGTCACAGAAAATATAAATAACCGAGTCAAGGACTGGACAGGTTAGTAACTGCTGAGTTTGCTTGTGGAGAGGTGGTGGTTTTATGCACAGATTTTGTTTTGACTACTAAGATGATGTACAGTACAGTACATAAATTGGCTTTAAACTTTGGTGTATGTCATATGCATGTCTTTGTTGGGGTATGTATCCAGACTTGTTTGTAGTTTGTTTTTATGACTTTCTTGTATGGTATGTAGTTTGAATCATGAAGAAGACAACAGGTATACTGGTAAAAGGAAGATGGGAAATGAATAGTTCCAGTTAAAGAATGATAGTATCAGTAGTGCCTTTGGTTTGACTGAAATCTTTATTGTTGAGATTACAGGAAGCTAATCAATAAACAGTAACTACAAAAAATATATTCCATCAATTTAACTTAGTACTAGATGGTGTGAGTTTTATGTGGGATCATTTGAGACCACACAGTGAAAGGGATGCAAAAAAGATGATGCTGAGAATATCTTACAAGTGGAGATTTAGTAATGGTATAACAGCTTGAACGATTTAAGAAACTGTCTTAGTTATTTACCGTAACTTTAATATCATCAATTTAGTGGGCACAGTCATAAAGATTAGTATGGGAGGAAGGCTTGACCAGTTGCCATTATGAACACTGACATCTCCAATAACAATAAAATTACAGAAGGGTGTGAAGAGAGAATGCGTCCAACTTTGTTGAAAAACAGTAGTAGACCTAGATGGGAGTGGCACCTGGCATGAACTCAGGGTGTTGGTGACAGGTGCACCCATTAGAAATTTCTAGGTCCACTACTGCCATAAAGTGTGGTATTATTTAACATTCCTTATTCTACTCAGTATGTCAATCAACATTTTCACTTCACACTCTATCCAATATCTTTTTTCAACATTCAGACCATAAAACATGCACCGCTAACTACTGTACTGTACTTGCATTCTACCATTAACATAGTAATGCACATCAATCTTTCACTTCCTTAAGTCAAGAGAGAAAGAAACACCTTTATTAATTTACTTCAAGTTAAACTGCCTGTGAAAATTTAGAGATTGTGTACCTAGAATAAATTTCTTTGCAAAGCTGTTAATTACATTTAAAAGAAAAAAATACATATCAATATAATATACTGTATATCTTCATGTATTTGCAACATGTTTAAGGGTAGATAAATCAAGTTCCCATAATGGTACTTGATTAATCTGGGTCTGTAAATTTGGGGGAAGATCATAGGGTAAGGAATATCCCTTAAAACAAGATCCAGTACCTTATGATAAACCTAACCCGTCAATGCTCTCAGCAGTGTCAGTTTAGTCCCTCATCATCAAGTCCAGCATCTAATGTGAGGAATAACCCAGCTAATCATGACCTCCAATGTAAGCACTGGATAATATTTAATATGACGTTCAGTATCTATTGCAGCATGCAATAAATTAACTCTCGGCTTCCAAGTTGGCTTGTCATTACGTGTACCTGAAAAAAAGACGCTGAGATACCGTACTGGTAAACTTCTTCACAATCAGCTTTAGCATTAAACCCAGAACCAACATACATAGTTTTAAAAAAACTATGACTTTTTATTGAGCAACAATTCTTTTTCTTAACTGTAATTATCTTGACATTTTTTCATGTACGTAATTAAATCACCTTCCAGTCAATTCTCTTCTAGGAGTCTGAAGCAAAACCCCAATCTTTACAAATACAATAACATATGTGAGAACTTCCTGTAATGTGAAAACCAAGTGTGAGTACTGAACTGAACTTTGGGGCAATTTTTCAAAGCATGAATATCTCTATTTCAGTTAAGATATTAAACTGTAAGCATTTCATTAGGAGGAGGAGGAGGGAGTGATGATTGGATGGTATGCAGTGTACTGTATCAAGTAATACTTTATCTTCCCCTGCCCGATGAAGAACACAAGCAGTTAGTTCAGTTTTACATATTCAAAATTCTGTACCAGAAGTTAACAGCAACCTAACATAATGTTTCAGAGATTATAAACTATCGTGTTTGTTAAAGTTTGTAGTTTCTTAGGGTCATACCCAGTACTGTTCAGATGTAATACCTGTCTCTTAATACTGCTTGCATACACTATCTTTAAACGTCAATAAAAATTGGAGATTGGCTACACTTCTGTTTACATTGTTGCAGAAAAATCTGATACATGGATTTTGGGTAATATCTAAGAGTGCGAGTATAATAATATAAAATATTTAGAAGGCAAACCTTACAGTTTTAACTATCGCCTTAAATATTAAATGGAAGTGAAAACTTGCCCATGAAGTATCGCACCTACTCACTCCTAGATGCTTCAATATATACTCATGTGATCACTAGAATGTCATTTGGATATATTCAAAATAAAGCAAATTTCTTATAAAATTTTATTTAAAAATAGTATTCATACAATGTAGATTGTCATTACATGAAACACCTTGAGACAAAGACCATGATACTGATACGCTATCATGCAAATGGGAGTGAATGAATGAAATGTCTGATAAAAAGTAACTTGGAGTAAATAGTGGTGTAGCGGGTCTTTTACATTTCTCACAATGGCTAAGTACACCTAATAGTTTGCAAATATACTGTACTTGTATCTGAGGATTATCTGCACCATCAACACTGAACCATTTACTCAGTAAACAACAGTCGTGGTCACTGAGATGTCAAAACAATACAATTCGGCACAAAATTATTCATTATATTGTCCACACCAAAAACAATGCTAATAAATTAAATAGTCATTTCATATCTCCCTGTATGTGATCAGAACAAAATGAGTATTCTGTCTGATGGGATTTCATCAAAGACCATTTTCTTACTTGATAAACACACCTGCATTTGGAATATTTGAAAAGAATATACAAAAGAAAAAAATTATAATAAATAAATAAAATAAACATTACACTAAATAATAGTATCACTATTAAGGCGCACTGCAGTTTCCTCAAGGTCAGTATATTAGCTCACAAAATAAATTCAAGTATTGTCTGTACACATTGGTCCAAAAATTAATATTGCATAAAAGTCACCCAAATGAGAACTTTTATAAACAACTATATGTCTTAACTAGAACTATATTCCATACACTGAGCCTAACAGATTACTACTACTGTACAGTATAAAAATTCTTTGTTAAATGACTCAATGTTCTCTTCAGAAACAAGTGACGACACTGTTGCTACATACCAACAGCTTCATCATATGATATGTAGTGTATTACTAAACCCGAGGATGAATATTCTTTAGACTGTTTCCAGTACCAGTGTTTGCTGATTTTATTTCTTGCAAACACTAGCAAAATGAAAACACAGCTTAGCAGTAATGTTATTATTCATCCTTGTAGATAAAATCAAAGAATAGAATACATCCAAAACTTTTTTCAAGCACATTGCTCTGATATACAATCTAGTCTTTAAGATTTAATTCAACAACCCTATTAATTTATATTTTAAAGATGGAACTGTCCAGCTAAAATCAGAAACACTGTACCAGCTTGTAGAACTATTGCAATTAGATTTCTGTACTGAAACTGAAGGCTAAGTTGTTCTTAAGATTAAAATGGCTTACATTATCCTTTTGTAATGATGAAAACAACTTAGTCAAAAATATTTCCAAATACAGAAACTATCATTTCAAATTTTCTATATTTAATATCTCATTATTTTGTAACAGCTAAAAAAAATGCAATGAGAAATTACCAGACTTTTGAGTACAGTATTTTGTTTTCTTTTTTGCTATTTGATAATATTGACAAGTAAATCTGTTATTATATTTAAGTTAGAAAATCAAACCTGAAACTTAAAAAAATAAAACAAAGTACACTATTCCTTACTGAAAGTAATATATGTCCAACCTAGAACTATACTAGATGTTACTGCTACATAAAAAAGTATAATTCATTTCTACACTGAAAGAGATAGCAGGTAAGATCTATATAATGCTTCTATTAAGTGAACTACCTACCTTAACACTGTACTGTACTCCAAACCTAATGAATGTGAGAACAAAGGTACCTTGACCAATGACCATTTACCACAACCACTGGCGGTATTTTTTGATATAAAATTCATGAGCTTACTATATATATTTCACTAATTGATTTAATACAATAAAACTATACTGTATCAAAAACTTAATAATTCACATAAATATATCATCAAATCCAAAAAACAACAATAAAACACCAGTAAAGAAAACGCACTGACCTGATACACTGCTGACCGAGGGAGGTCGAGACATACAGCGCAGCATAAAATGCCACCAAGGCGAGCCTCTAGTTTATTGTCAGTGTCATCGCGATCACAGGACTCAAGTCGAGGTTTCTTTGAGGTCACTTCATCTCCTTTCGTCTCCTCACAACGTTTTTCAGCCACAGCTGGGGCGCCAGAGGAGGTTGAGGCAGGTTCCGTCATTGTTCCTGCGAGTCTGGCACTGGTTTGTTGTCCTCCGATCAGCTGTTCGCACAGGCGTGTCTGGCGGCGCAGCTCGCCCCTCCGAAAAACAAAGTAGTTCCTCAGACAACCGTCTAACTTTTACTTACACTTTATTTTTAGGTGCTTTATTTTAATTTCAAAATGTTAATGGTTTTATAAAGTTTTTGTGTAAAGTAACGATATTACTTTGTAAAAAATATAACGATAATGACCTACATTGCTTTGTTAGGGATTGCGTAAAAGCAGACATTGGAGAAGCTTTCGTCGACGTCATACTTCGCGTTGAAGCAAGTTATTTCTTGCATCATGCCAACCAATCGAAATATGATCTATTTCCTTATAAAACTGATATTTATCGTCAAATACGCAGTGTATAATTTATTTATTTTTATGAATTGTGCTAATGTTAGCGTAGAGTAAAGTCCGTCAAGACCTAAAGCTCCCCTACGGTAAAGTAATGACACAAAGGAGATGAGCCCCGATATAGTGAATTTCAATATTATTCTACGCAGTAATTTTTTTAAGTATGAAGCTCGTAGCCCGGTTAGTAAAGTATGTTTGCAGCTTCATCCAGAGGAGGATGAATCACGACGCAACATTAAAGATCATCTGTGAATTTACAAGCGCAGGGTAATGTAATGTACGTACAGTATTATTTATCGTACTGTACAGTACGTACAAGACTTATTATTTAAATCATAACTGTTAGAATAATTCGTATAATCAAAGAAACCTGTATAACTATTACTTGGCTTACATTTTAACTCGTATTAAAACTAACGGTCTGTTAAGATTAACTACGTAACGTTTTGAGTAAATCGAAAGAAAATTTGGTCAGACCAAAAACACTAGATAAAAAGATTATGGAGCTCCTACGCGTAGATATACGCCGCGTTACAAATAAATCGGTTTCTTATTCGTACCTAAAGGCCTTGGTTACACCTACTAGACAGCGAGAGAACAGCTTTCACTAAGCGCTAGGTAAGGTTGCCTCACACACCTTGTTCTCAAGTTACCGATGCTCCTGTGGGTGGTTGTTGTCGAATCATGGACCAAATCAGCTATCTTATGAAGTTAAAGATTATGCAATTTTATGTTTTGCTACTTTTACAAATACAGTACTAGAGTGTGACGATAACGCGACGCACTGATGAAGTATTCAGAGGTCGAGTCGTGCACTACAGCATATTCGTACCCAACATTGTTATTTGTTTGTTGGTTCTCTGGCTTGTGTTTAGGTGAGTCTCTTTTTGATCACAGTGAAAAGCTATACAGGAAATGATGTGTAATGACAGATTGTGCGTGTTCTGTGTAGGTGTGGATGCAAAATCAGAGGAGTGATGATAATGACAAAATGCAGTTATTTATTTACAAGTGCAGTACTACATTTCTCTGATATACTATTAACTAGTAACCTCGACTTCTGTTTACATGCCGAATCAAAGTAAAGTTGTAGGTTGATTTTACTGAATCTATATCTATTTATCTATCTACGAAGAATAGCCATCAAAAATACTTTTGTAAGCTATAAAGCTATCTCTTTATAGCAACAGAGTGACTCGGGAACCATACTTTCGCTTGGCAGCCAAACAATGATAAACGAGAAACTCCACAGCTGATCACCATTCAACATTCCTGTAACACCAGTAGCGTAAGATTCCAACATCACATGTAGCTTGTCAGCCCCTTTGTAAATTATGAGCAGGGTCGTGTGATAACAGGAGGCAGGGGTCAGATGAGGATGAAAGGAGGCAATGGGAGGGGAGGGGAGGGGAGGGATGGGTAGCCTAGTTAAAGGGGTAAGGGGAGGGACGAGTGGTGGACGGAGGGAACAGGTCGTAGGCGGTGGAATGTGCAGCTGTGTTCCTCGTGTTCCATCCTCGCTCTTACCTCCCCCTCTCACTATTTCCTAGCCTCACTCCACCCGGTGTATTGTCTCACCTTCCTGCAAACCCAATTTACCTCATAATTCTTTCCTCAGCCGTTTATTATTTGTTAACACCCTGATATACGTAGAAAGGATTATAAACATAGGTATTTATAAACCCAGACGGTTTGTGGTCTGCGGAACACCTGAGTGGACAAAATGGCGGGAGGTGGGGTGAGGATCGTGAGGTACAGACGGAGAGGGATAGCTGGCTGCGTTGATAAAGTTATCATTTTGAATTTTTTTGTGTTAAGTGTTGAAGTTGTACCTGTACTGTTAATCTATTTTTCGCCTCTACTTTACTTTTTTACTTCATCCTCTTCACCACTGACCGGTCACGTCTCTGTTACGCACTGTTGGCGCACTTGCCAAGTTGACAGCATTGTATAATCCTGACCCATTCCATGTTTTGTTGATTATGGCCGCCTTTTAAAAGACTTTATTGGGTCACAGCCCTATTGGGCGCTGTAAACTTGTAAACTCTTTGGCGCTTCGCCTTGCAAAGGATGCAAAGGGGTGCTCAACAAACTAGCCTCTTGTGGTGCAAATCTGAAATCTGATTCTAACGCTAACCTAATAGTAGGGTGAAATAAGCTGGAGGTTAATATTTATGTGATACAGACGCGCTACAATCAGTTAAATTTTAAAATCTCAGAAATAACAATGCAGATCAAGGTTAAATACAAATACAAATCTGGAGGACATAAAAATAAAGTTACAAATATATTACTCAGGATTATATACAAGGCCATCGAAATATAATGCCCGTACTTTAATATATAACCATTTCAAGTTTAGGCATTCCTATTAGATGTCCTTGTATTATATTTAACATTATTTCCTACACAATGAAAGCAGAAGTGGATAATATTTCACTCTTGTTGCCACGAGTTTAATTATAATCTCAGGTAGCTGTTGGTCATACACACACACACACACACACACACACACACATAAGAATGGAGGAAACTGCAGCGGGCCTATTGGCCCATTCTGGGCAGTCCTGTGCATGGGCGTCCGCAGAAAAAAAAATGCAGGGGGGGGGGGGGCAATGTTATCCTGAATTCGACGTGTGAAGTGTGAAGACATCATTGACAATTTCGGAAGAGATCCCCGACGGCTCCAATTCCTGTTCCAAGAGTAGTAACCTGCTCAAACTGAATGAACTGTTGAGAAATGTTTATGTTATTTTATTCATTTTGTATTTTCCATGTAATTTTTTCAAATTTTTTATTTTCCAGGGGGGAGCAAATGCCCCCCCTTGCCCCTCCCTGCGGACGCCCATGGTCCTGTGTTCACCCAACCCCTATCACTCATATATCCATCCAACCTATGTTTTAAGCTATCCAGCGTATTCGAGTTAATGATGTTTGGTAACTTGTTCCACTCATCCACTACTCTATTTCCAAACCAATGTTTACCTATCTCGTGCCTAAATCTAAATTTGTCCAATTTAAGACAATTGCTACGAGTTCGCTCCTGGTTGGATAGTTGAGTACCTTTGTTATATCACTTTGTTTAGCCCTGACTTCCATTTATACACCTCGATCATATCGCCACACATCTGGTAGGTTAGTAACGCTGTACCCATACCGGAACTCTCAGCATGTAAACTTTGTGATAAACCTTTAAGGCATACACTTGAACACTATATTATTGAATGTAACTGTCAAAGACTTCAGGCCACCTGGCTTATTGTATCATGAACTTTGTAATTACTACATTGAATAAGGGGTGCTTGAGGACATTCTTGCTGTTTATCCAAAATTTGCTAGCGAATATGATGTACTGTACTTCTTTGTGTAAGAACCTCTGTCCTGCATGGCAGTGAGCAGTGATATCACCCACATGACTCTGAACTATATATACTGTTAATGAATATGATCTATTCCTTTGTGTATGAACCTCTGTCCTGGGTGGCAGTGAGAAGTGATACCACCCTCAATGTCAAGACCTGACTGAATTATTCAGAATAGGCAAATTGTACTCCAAGCTTTGTCAATAAATTTGTTAAACTAAAATCAAAAGCCCCTCACTCTACGCCTCTCTCGAGAGTGCAAATTAAGATGCTTTAACCTGTCTCTGTACTCAAGGTTCCTAATGCCCGGGACGCTTTTGTGATTATTCATATCTTCAGCAGTACAGGTTTATGAATAATCAGTAAAACTCATGGATCTTTTCGTGTTCCTCTTGGTCAGTGGTTACCTGCATACCTTACAAGGACGACGGCAACGATTTCGTTACGCTCGAGATAGATGACTTCCAAGTGCATAAAACAGAGAATATGGAGTTGCCGACGAGTGTGCCGATATTGTTACACTCTACTGAGCTTATTTAAGGGGCGGCAACACCTCTGGTTGGCAGTGTCTGCACTGTCTGGCATCCATGCTTTCATGTTTAACAGAAATCAGCTTAGCAGGAGACAGAGTAACATTGCTATGTGTTTGAAGACCCATATCTACTGTTACAGATAATTAATATGCTTTGTTAAATTGCATTTATTAGGTAGTATTGTAGTGGATTTCTCCCCTACAAACGCTGTTTGTCGCTGAGTAGCCGACCCCGCGAATTCCCCAGTGTGTGCCTCGTGGTCTGGGTCAACCAGCGCCGCCATACATCGCGGAGGTCAACTACTAAGCCACGCCTACCTCCGCTATTTAAGACCTGACCTCGTAGTGCCCCCTCTTTTCTTCTAGCTACAGCCGCAGCAAGCAACACCACCTCCTCCGCTCCTGCCTGGCGGCCCTCGCTCCCGCCGGCGACCATGGCGACCCACAAGCTTGTCCTCCTCTGGGCACCCTCACCAACCAGCTCTCTCTAAATCACGCTTGTAACCACGCTGCCACTTCCCAGCACCAAGCTGCATTGTACATCCAATATAACATGTATACAGAGAGCACATTGTGAGTTTCCTTTCTCCATCCCATCCTGAGTGTGAACCCAAACATCCCATACCCCACAAATGGTGACCCCCGGAGATTCGCACTCACACAGGATGGAGGAGAAACCGATCACGCTCCCAGTCTTCAAGCAACATGGAAGACTGGCTTATCCACCCAGAAGCAGCTCTCATCGGCTCTACAGCTACTGTCTCTAAACCGCAGGTTAGATACCCTAGAGCAGCACTGCTTCTCTAAGCAGACACCAGCTCCTCTTCCTGCCCCAAGCACCACGTCCTACCGACCCCAGCACACCCGTCCTGCCTCAGACGCTGCCCCCGGCCCAGCAGTACCCCCTGCCGCTCCTCCTGATGCAGCCCCTGCTCCCGACGCGGTCCATGCGCCTGAGTGCGGACCAACACACTCCTCTTTTCTCCCTCAGGCACTCCCTGCTACTGTCCTGCACCCTGCTGCTGTCGTGGACCCAGCTGCTGTCACGAGCCCTCCTCCGCTTCTGCTGACGCAGCCCCTGCTCCTGACCCAGGC